GATGAAGAAATAAAGGGATCTTTTATTTTCTTTTTTTTCTAAGCTTATATCTCTATCTCTATCTATTTAATAATACATTTGTTTGTAGATCTAGTTGTAGAAAGAACGCTGTATTGTTGCTATTTAGAAACCTAGATAGTAGGCTACGCCACGGCACCCATTTTAAAAAGAAATTAACAAGGACCAAGCCTCGCCTATCGCGTATGAGGGGGAGAGAAAACATGCCTAGCCCATTGCTTTAGCTTGAATTCCTTCACAGATCTCGCCCACTGAAACATGGCGGACGCCTCTGTCAAATGTGGCCATCGCGCAGCAAGGCGAGAAAGGGGCGTACTGTATCTAGTGCCTATAGTGTACATCTATGGTCCGACCCAAGGAGTTTACAGTTGTTTTAAGCTCCTTGGTCCGACCCCAGCAATTATTTCCGGCGAGTAGCGATTAGTCCTTAGTCCGACCAGAGAGTTGACAGTAATACTAGAGAGATGGCACTTCGCCGGATGTGCGTATCTGGGTCACCTGCTCATCGTGGAGAAACGCGCGGTAAACAAAACAAACTGCGTCCATTGTTCAAGGCATTTACGTTGATCGCTGACAAGCATGGCCCCTGTTAGCACAAAGTGTCAATGGTGTTCTGCTATAAACTGCACCTATTTAAATCAATATCTGAGTTTCTATCGATTTCCAAAGGATGGCGAATATATTTTGATGAATGGAAAAAAAATAATATATAGATCAAAATAATGACAATGTGATTGTGGTCCTATCAGACTGACACTCCATGCACAAACTCAACACACTTCAACTTTGTTATATCAGCTATAGATTGTATTTTTTCCCTGTCTAAATGCCCAAATTGAGCCTGCATTCTTCTAGTGAAAGATATGACTAAAAGTTTTCTAAATACAAAGTGCCGTCGATCGGTTTTAGATTGGAACTTTCTTTGTCCGATTACCACTTTTTTTTTTTTGGGGGGGTGTAGGATGGGAGATAGAATGTGTTAGGGATCCTATTAGATATAGATCTAGTAATTATTCAGGTTCAAATACATGCAAGTCAGTAAGGCATCTTTTGGTTTTGTCTGAAATACAAATACTTTAGGCATTGCAAACTAAAAATTTCATTTATAATTCAGCCATCAATATTAAGTACGGCTAGCCTGACAGTCTAGCCGTCCTTAAG